ACAATGGGCTGAGGAGAAACGCCAGAGGAGTGAGCTCAGGAGGTGAAGAGATTGTTTCTTGCAGCATATTCTGAAATTCCCAAACTCCCTATTTTGGAGCAGTGATTGGGTGGGTTGACTTTAACACATCCATAGGGTCATCCAGTGAACAGATTGGTTTGACTCATCTGCCTCTGTACCTGTGGGAGGCATGCAGGTACATGGGGTAATTTTTCAAATCTGTTTGGAGCCGTTTGCGTGAGACTTCCGAGTGGTGAGAATGATCTACAGCGCGTGTGAACCAGCGACCTGCTGAGGTGTGGGGAACCTGGGCACAGCTTTGCTGCCCTGAGGCACTGCTGGCAGCAAAGGTGGCTCCCAAAGCTGGCACTGACCCATGTTCCTCATGGCAGCAGCTGCATCCAGGACATGTCTGTGCTGCCTGTCCCCAAGAGTGTGCAGGGAGGCCACAGTTGTGCTGCTCCTCCAGATGGTGTGAGGTCTTATTTCTGGCTTCAGAAGCAGCTGGAAGCAGGAATTTGAATATCTTCCAGCTGACATTTGACATGTAAGAAGTAATCTTTGCTTTCCTTACCTGTTTCTCTCAGAAATTTGCGTTGTCCTTGTGGTGCACACCATGTTGTGCCCCGCTCACAGCACTGCCTCTTGTGCTTTTTTGGGTTTGAGAGGGGCTTGCAAAGGGCATTTTGCTGCAGGCTGGTGAGTGTGGATGTCAGGAGAAGGGATCGAAGCAACACGTCTGTCAGGTGCGAGGCAGATTGTACCATCCAATCTCCGGCTGTCGTCTGCAGCATTTGTCAAGGCCTCCACTGCCCTGCTCCGTTTCATCAGAGCTATCACTGGCATTCATCTAGGCTGGCAGCATTTCAACAGCTGTTAATCCTCTTTGTATCTCTAAACACTATGACCACTGACAAGCTTCTATACTCTGAGGTGCCAAATATCTCAAGATATCTGTAGTGATGGTGGTTGGGATTGTTGGTTTTAAATCAAGACACCTTTTGATCTATTGACCCAAACTGAAACTGATGGGGAAATCTTCATCCCAGTGTCAGGTTTTCAATGCTGCTGCTTGATGTTCACAAATAATTTCACCTGAAAGCTGATTAATTTTGGTTTCCTCATGCTTGTTTTGTTCAGTTTTCTGTTTTACATGTTACTGCAAGTAGCACATGTTTCACTGAAGTTGTAAGGAATGTGGTTTAATGTCAGTGTGAGAATGAGCTGGCAGGGTTTTCTTTTTATGTTTCAATTACTTTCCCTCCTGAAATAATCCTGAGAACTCAGTTTTCTGCTATTATTTTTTCTTACTTCCTTTGCTATGTGTTCTGGAAAGGGTCTGGGCATTGTAGTGAGGTGTGGTACTGAGTGTTGGAATTTCTCTGCATGTTTGCAGCCGAAGAGGAATGCTGAATTAAAATATTCCAAATTTAGCTCAAAGTTTTAGAACTGATTCCCTTTGGAAGGGAATTTTTAGCACAGGGGTGTTTTGGAAGAGTGGAGAGCAAGGGTATAGCAGCAAATCTGTTGTAGAAAAACACAGGGTAAAGAAAAGTGGTTCTGTTGCACTTTAGGCTCTGGTTATGTATTTTTACAACTTCTGGTGTTTTTATTATTTGCTACAAACAATCATTTAATAGCAGGCAAAAATTTTTCAAACTAACATTTCTTTGCTTAGTTTGTTTGTCTTCTCTGGAGAGCTCGCTCCCCATATGACAAAGCTGTGTTGTTCTGAAGTTGACTCCCCTAAGGCTCAGCTTTATTGAGAGAAGTGAAACATTTTAGGTGGTTCATTCATTCTTTCTGTGTCTTTTGTTATTTGAGCTCTTACGGTGTCCTTTGGTCATGTTTTTAAACTTATTTCTGCAACTAAGACTGCCAGGAGCTTTATTTAATAATAGTTGAGGTCTTATGTTCAACTTTTTCTTTGTGAGCTGCCATTTTATCTCAAGCATCAAATAATGTGAAAGTAAATTAAAAGCAGCGTTCATGTCTTGTAATTTCATGTGGAATGTTCTCTCTTTTACTGTACCTCTGAATATCGTTTTGTGAAGATAAAGGACTTCACTAAGACTACAGGCAGCTCAGACTTTGTTTCAAGTGCAAATACCACACCTTGATCCTGCTGAATAGCCCTTGTCTGGAGGCGACCCTGCTGAAGTTGGGGGAAGTGCTCAGATGGTTCCTGGCTTAGCTCCGTGTTTGCAACGGTATTATAAAGCCCTCAAAGTTCTAGGCCACTAGAACGTTCTCTCCTGCCATAGCATGGTGGGTAAACTGCTGAAAATCAAGCAGATCTTGTGTCTGAAGTAGTATAGATGAGAATACTTGGAAAATTATTCTCTGTTAGTAGAAGCCCCAGATCACAGAGCCTGCTATGTCTGTGCCCGTGCTGAAAGGCCCTTCTCTTGCCCATTTAGCCCATTTGTTGCTCATTTAATGTTTAGGACAAAAGGGAATGTGACTTTACCAAGGTTGGAAAGAGTCTAAAGGCCAAGGAAAATGTATTTTAAAAATCTGCTTGCTGAACAAACTCAGATTTAATGGTAGCCCCCTGTTTTTATTGCTCAGGGAAGCATTTAAAGGTACTGATTCATAGCATTAGAAATATTGATTTATTTGTTTTAGAGTTTTTGGAGGGGAGAGGTCTGAACCAACAGCAAGAGGCCCAGTTGGATCATAGAGAAAGACATTTCCTTTTCATTTTTAAAACTCGGCAGCTCTATCTGCAGGTTGAAGGTGTTCTATGCCCCTCCTCAATCTTTGCATGATGCCTGGTGGTTGCTTTGAGACCAAGTCTTTCCTCCTTCCCCTGGCTGAGATTCTTGCCTCTGTTCAGGCACTCACTTCCCTGCCTTTAGCAGCTTCAGAATTCAGAACTAAAGCCTGGGTTCCTTTCCCAGTTATTTTTGTCTGTGCCTGTAGCTGATGCTGTTGAAGATGAGCCTGACCGAAGTGCTGGGCAGTTGAACTCTCTAATAAAGCATGTGAGGTTGCGCCACAACCGCTTTAATCGACAGCACATCCAGCAAATGATTCTGTTGGCTATCGTTACTTTCTTCAGGTGGGTTAAACACGACCTCATGCTGGGTCTCACGTACAACATATTTGTTCCTGTTTTCTTCTCCCACTGCTGTTTCACTGCAGAGTGCTGCAGGCTAATAGTGTCTGATGGGACTACTTCCTATTGCCTGAAGAATGTTTAAATTTGCTACCTTGCTTTCTCTTTTTCCCACTTTCTCTCATTCTGATTTCTCAGATGCAGTCCCTTTGAGAAATCAGACAGTATGAAATATGAAAATTGCTTAGGTAGTAATTGGAGAAATGGTGAGACCTTTGAAGCCCAATGGAGATAACGCTTACATCTACTTATTCACATTATTTAATTTTTAATGGCAGATTTAATTAATGAAGCACAGGTCTTGTGGTTTCATGTGTGAATAAGTAACAGCAGGGAGCTGTAAGTCATGAGGTCTGTTTACAGGCCAGAGAAAAAGGCACCATTAAAAGCTGAACTTTTCAATATAGGAAGGAGAAAAATGGATTTAATAACATTGAAGTTTGACCACGCTGTAACGAGTAAGTAAACAAAAACGTTAATGATAATTTGCTGGTAAAATGCATTTTGAAGTGGTTAGTCCTTCATGATTCCTCAGTTTAAATCTGTCTCCTAGGTCAAAGTTTGAAAAAGCGAAATCTGTTCTGTGTTTCTTTTGGTATGTAACATAAATTTAGGCACTAAAGATAAAACACTTAAATATAGCACCTTGAAGTCCAGGTTCTGAAAACCTTTATAAACCTTTCAATTAGCTGAGCTTCACACAACTTCAGAGATACAGGCAGCTGTTATCCCTCACTTGCAGATGGAAAATGGTTACTTGCCCAAGATTGCACAAGTGGCAGAACCACTAATAGAACTTGAGTTATATCTGTCCTTTCCTTTTTCCAACCACTGAACAGTAAGTGTTGGCTCATCATGCGCAGGACCAGCTGCATTTATGGGAAAATAAATGAAGAAGGGCAAGAATAGTATTCTATATAAAATGACCAAATTTGGAGAGAGACGAGATAGCAGCTCAAACTGGCCCTAAATGAATAGCTAGCCTCGCTTTCAATACCATTTTGTCACTTTTTTTGATTGATTATTGCATATTTTCTGCTTGTGCCTTTTCAGAGTAAGAGCCTTGCAGATGAGCTTTGAGCGAGGCGGTTGCCAGTGGAGTCCAGCAGCTTTGCCTGAGGCAGCTTTTTCAGCAGTTTAGTGACAGAGACCTTGTAGTGCCCTCACTGGGGGAGTGCAGCCCTTCCCTCCTGCTGACTGTGCCTGGGAGGCTCCTCAGTGCAGCCCAGAGGAGGAATTCATCCTCCACATTTAGTGACTGAGCAGTTGTGAGCTAAAACTTTCTATGCAAGTTCAGGAGGATTTAATGCAAACCTCTTAAGCCCTGCAGCAAGGCACTCAAGACTGTTTGGCAGCACCTTAACTGAGACCTGATACGCCTCCCTATGTTGTTAGAAGGGAAACAGGCTGCATAATTTTCTTTTAAAGAATAAGTAACATAAGTAGAAGCACTGAAATGTAAAATGGATTTTCCAGTGCTAGAAGCCAATTTTGATACTTGCATGTCAGTAACTTACACGATCCTTCACAGCAATTAATGAAAGAAGAGAACAAAACATGACCCAACTCAAAATAGCTCTGTGCTGGAAACACCTTGTTTTTGTGGTTACATGGAATAACCAAAGCTCATGGTTGGTTGGTAGTGACCTTTTCCCCTTTCTCATTTCACAAAAATGAACCTTGAAATGAAGGCTATATTGTGGCCTTGATGCATTTTGTTGAAAATAAAATCGACTCTTAAGTATTTCTGGCGTTCTTTGAACTGAATATTCTTTTTGTTGTTGGAAATTGTTATTAATTATAGAAGATGACTTTGTGACAAGATAAGATCTGATATGCCTTTAATTTTTAGAGCTGAGCATTCTATTCTTTGTTTCAGAATGCAGAGATCTACAAGATGACATCTGAGCAGTATCAGGAGGCAGCCACCAAGGCAGAGGAACGGATAAAGTGAGGAGCCATTTTTGTTCTTTTCAGCAGTTCCAGTTGCATTCCATAACATTTTTTGTGTAGCTTCTGGATGTTCCTGTAAACAGAGTGTGAAGGTATTTAATGTCAAGTACTGAGGTGGCATCTTCTCTTTCTGTGTCAAGCTTGACAGAATTTAGTATAAAGTTGATAGGTCTTGCAAGGAAGGATGAGGGAGAAGAGAGGGACTTTTAAAATGAATATTAAATAGGAATATTTACTAGGGTTTTCAAAATAGCAATGGAACATGCTTAATCTGTTCCAATTTAGACCCACTGTACTTAACATACACACTGCAGCATTGGGCTGGTGCATGGGGGTAGGAAGAATGGCACCACTTCTAAAGTTTTCATTGTCCAGGGAAAGAAAAGGTACAGTCTAAATCTCACGCCTGTTAGTTTCAAATTAGAGTTGTAATTTTCATGAATGCTTTCTTAGAATGGGTGCAATGATTTTTCTGATCTTTTTTATTTGCCTTAGCACAATAAGTGGACCTTTAATGTTGCCTTTTTACCATAGGCATATATAGTGTTTAAATTATATTTGTATTTGCCAGTAGTGTTATATAAGTTATTGTTCCACATGCACTAACAGCTGCCCGAGAAAAAATATTTTCTATAATTCTTTAATATTAATGAGGCTAAAGCAATTACGCTGTCAAGAGCAGCACTCGAATCTCAGTTGGGTAAACAGTTGGCCAACATGCAATAAACTGGAGTAGCAGCATATGTAGTCCAGTTGGGTCCAATCCAGACTGTACAATACTTAATTGCATAAATAGATAATATAGTAGTGATGAATATATTAGTGGGGTGTGCAGTATATTGTGCTGTCTTTATTTAAAATTATGTTTAACTGCCAAAGTGTCACATAACCTGTTGTAATTTCACATTTTTGTTTGGACAGTCAAGCAATAAGTTGCTAAAGAAGCCAAAACAAAGCAGCTAACACATTGCTTGCATTTCCATCCTGTTTTCCATAGCAGAATTTTAAATTCTCTTTTAAAATAAAATTTTAAAAATTCATAGGACATAACTTTCATATAGCCTTTGATCAATGGAATCTTTTTTTGGATTTGTTTCTGCAAATGTGTGATCAGTTGTTGTGAACTTGTGTAGTGGTGATTTACCCTTGCTGACTTGGTAAAGGAAGTGATTGGGACCTGGGACTGTGTTCTTCACTTACTAGTACAGACTGTAACTACCTTATTCCTACAGATTCCTTGGGCTGTCTTCTTTGTTGCAAAAAGAGACACCTGCCCTAATGTGAATTTTGTGTGAAAAAATAACATGGCTGGGGGTGTTTTGAAAAGGGACAAGATGAGTGGCATGAGTGAAACTGAAGGTGAAGTTGAATATCATGCATTCTAGTTCTTTACAGCAGAAATTGCCAGCATTTGCCAGGATTGCAGTGAGCTGAGCTTTGGAGTTCATGATCTGGGACTGATAATGCCCTTTGATAATTGTACATGCAACAAGAATCTTTGCTTTCCCCCATCAGCCTGCAGTGTGTCACTTCCATCAGCATGCAGTGACCCTTTTCAGATTGTTGCTTTGTCTACAACACACTGTGCAAACACTCCTGAAGTGTTCTTGTGCCTCACACCTGGGTCATGATAGGCTGGGACGGGGTCAGGGGAAGGTTCCTTCCTACACTGGCATCCATTCTCAATTGGTAGGACTTGAAGTCTGTGTGTTGTGTGGTTCTCTTGTTAGGCATCCTACATTCAAGTCTTTCTACAGCCTGTTTATTGTAATACCCTACCAGATCCTGTGACTTCCCTGGAAGGAATAGTTTGCTTATCCTGTTTTGCTCTTTCATATTAGACACACAATTAGACACACAAGCATGGTTGGTGCTAAGGTAGGTTAGACTGATTCATGCAGATCTAATTCTTTGATTTGCAGGAATTAACTGACACTCCTGCAAAATTATGTGAAATGGAATATTAGACAAAGGATGAATGAGGTACAGGTCTGCCTGTTTCTGATGCTGGACTGTGATATCTCCTTAAGGAAAGGAGACCAGGAGTGGCACTTTCTCCAGCTGCAGAGAGTGCATTTCCTTCACCACAGTGTCTCTTCCCAAGCTTCTGGTGTCCCTGTTGCACTGTGAGACCTGCCCCTGGCACTTGCGCCTTGTCAGACCAGTCTACCCTGTATTTGTTCTCTGCTACTGTGTATCATCAGAGCTGATGGAGGAAAAGGGAAATAGGGCTGGGGTTCTTTCCACTGTGTTTTTCAGAGTCTGTGTTGAAGCAAAGAGAAGAAACAAAACCCCAGAGTTTTCTTGGCATTTAATGACTTTTGTAATTCTTTTATCAACACTTACAGCTCTGCAAATTGGTCAAGCATTCCACGGACTGTTTCCACTCCTTAGTGATTGGGAAGCATTGCAGGATTTAGAAATATTGTACACCTTTCCACCAGTGGCCCTTCACAGCATGCCTGCGAGGTAGGCAAGTAAACCTTCCTATCTCCCTTTGTATAAAAACAGAAGTGAAGTACTTGGTGCTGAGCTTCATATTAAATCACTGACACAGCCATTAGCTCTTGGTTTCCACTTCAAGGCTTGATGCCTGCATGGCCTGACTTGTGCAATGGACTTTGTTCCTCATCTCTTCACCTGAAGCCAGCCTGCTCTTGTCTCCACATAACTCCTATCAGAGGGTCTCCTCCTCCTTTGTTCTGCACTCTGTCAAACCCATTTTATTTCCTCCCAGGAAAAAGATCCTAGCAACGATACCACTGAGCACAGCTTTCAGCACCTTAAGCAACTTGCCCTTGTTGCTTCCATGCTGTGGTGAATTGGATAGTTGCCATGGACATATTGTCTCAACTATGTTGTTATAATTGGAACATTATTATTTTTCTCTTTTGTTAACCAACAGAATTAAAGTCAGGGGACCTAGAACTTCCCCTGCCTTCTTTCCCTGTTTAGCAAACTGTGCACATCAGTAACCACCCACAAAGGAAGCAGCGTGTAAATAAAAAGCCAGTGCTCCCCACCCTTCCCTTCATTCCACATCCTTTTCTCAGTGTTCACAGAGCCATGACTCAGACTGGGTTTAGAGAAGACAACTTGCTAATCCCCTCCCTGCTACAGAGAATAAAATGGCATTTCATTCCAAGCTGTATTAATGCACTCGCTCCAGGGATAAAGCAGCACTCCCAAAAGGCACTGGCCAAATTTTCTTTCTGTTGCGTTGTCTTTGTCTTCTTTTGAGTGTTACATTTAGATTAGCTTCTGAGGATTAAATGTTATTACAGTCCCTGAATCTGTTAAAGGGAAGGAAAAAAACATCAGTAAAGAGGTTATGGTTTAGTGCAGCACTCTAGATTTATCCTCAATATGCTGGTTTGGGTTTTTGTTTGTTTGGTTGGTTTTTGTAATTTATTTTATTTTGTGAAGGTGGTCTTACACTTTTTAAAATATTTATTTATTTTTGTAGTTGTTACTTTTGGATGCAAGAATTGGCCTGGGTGGGGGTGTGACTCTAAAAGGTAAAGCTGCAGGAGTTGGGTGAGGGGATTAGGAAGCTGCTAAAAGATAAAATTGTTCTGAAGCTGAGTTTCCCTCTGAGATCTCCCTATAGATTTCAGAACTGTTTCTGAGGCTGCTTACTGATGACTCTATTGCTTTGCATGTTGTGCTGAGGGGACTGCATATGCTTTGTGCTGTTATCAAGGAGTGCATAAAGAATGTCAGTTGATCTTATCCTGGAGATCAGCTGTGAATCCAAGGCAGCTTTCCGGTGGAGAAGCTGCCAAAGGGATTTACTCCATTTAGGACTTACTATGTGAGAGTTTCATTTAATGGTCCTAAGATCTTTAAACTTAATGGACATGAGTATTTAAGGTGATTACATTAGAGAAACTAGCAAGCAGTAAGTATCCTCCTGGCTGAATATGGAGTAGAAAACCACTCTGCCTCAGTGAGAGTAGGGGAAGAACGTTCATAGATGCATTGTCTTGCTGGCAACAGAGAATGTTGGTACTCATGGAAATGAAGGTTTTATTGAATTACACAAGATTTTATGAGGCTGATGGCCCCTCAGAATGGCAAGATTCAGTGGAACCTAGAGAAACTATGGTTTTTTTTGTTTCTTTATGTAGATATGGAAAGCTTATGAAACAATTATGTGGTGATACTTGAGTTAATCTTGAAGTCTGCTATGAGGCCTTGGGTATTTCAACAGAGGACTGTACCCAGGAGACAAGGTCTGAAAGAGTTATTATATGGACAGTTGTGAAGCCAAAGGAGAAGGGTAAAGACATCATAGTTTTCAAATAAAATTGCTCTGGGATTTCTCCTATCATTGGATTAGATAAATGATTAATTTAGTGTTGAAATTAAGAGCCTCTCCAATAGAAATTTATGAGTACTCAGGAGTAAGAGATTGACTGTTGCTGAAAGCTCATCCATAGCCTTACTTCAACATAGACCTTTTGTGCCCTGTGATGATGATATCTTCACCAAAATTATTTAACTTCGTCCCAGTCCTGTTCTTCCCTTGATGCTTGGTTTGTGCTAGTTGTTCCTTCTTCTGTCTGCACTGAGTCTGTTTCATAATCTTCAAATAAAGAGATGGGTTATTAGTCAAAGCTTTTCTGTTTCTCACTTTTATAAAGTTTCTTTTAGTATGAAATTAAAATATTCTCTAAGAGATTATAATGCATGAGTTTCCTCAAGTTTAATTCAGAAGAGGGTAAAAGTATATGGGTGAATTTTGACTGTGTCATTTTACCTGTTGTGCATTTTACTGAAAGAAAACGTTTCTGATCGCTTTCAGTTCTGCTTCACACAGTTTTTCACTCATTACCTTAGCATGTAAACATTTTCCTTATGAATTCTGGAAGGTCTATTGTTAACTACTTGTACCAGTGCATTGATTTCCTTGCAACGTATATTCCCCTACTGCTTTAGGAATATGGTATGTGAAAACAGAAGTTGAATATGTGCAGTGGATTTGCATAAATTTT